TGCTGAAAAAACCTTGTAAGCCTTCTAGGTGCAGATGAAGTTATGAGCTCTGTATGTTGATTTATTTTCTATGAACAAAGCTCAAAAAAATTTCAGAGATGTAATGGACAACACGACTACGCAGAAGTACTGGTTAGATATTCAGCTACGGTGGGGTGATTATGACTCACATGATGTCGAACGTTACGCGAGAGCAAAATTTCTTGACTATACCACAGATAACATGTCGATTTATCCGTCGCCAACCGGTGTTTTAATTGCAATCGACCTAGCATATAATTTATATAGGTAGTTTTCTATTTTTTACTCATTTTATAAGTTTTGCAGTTGATAACTTAAATTTAATAAATTTTTTGTTGTAAGAGAAAATTCAATAAGATCGACTTTTCCAGTGCATATGGAAACTGGTTCCCAGGTATGAAACCGCTAATTCGACAAGCGATGGCTAAAATTATCAAGGCCAATCCTGCTTTTTACGTCTTGCGTGAACGTATTCGTAAAGGCCTTCAATTATATTCATCTGAACCTACGGAGCCGTACTTGACATCACAAAATTATGGCGAATTATTCAGCAATCAGATTATTTGGTTTGTAGACGATACGAATGTTTATAGAGTGACGATCCATAAGGTTATTTCATCGTATAAATTTAGTCAAAAACTTTTTAAAATTGCCAAACATTTTAGCTTTCCGCTTCGCAACTTACGATGAGCATTTCATATTACTCTAAACCAGACCAATTTTATTTTGATAGATTCATAAATGTCCACAGCATAAAACTTCAGTCTTTTACAGACGTTTGAAGGAAACTTAACAACGAAGCCGATCAACGGTGCCATTTTCATTTTTAATCCACGAACCGGACAACTTTTCTTAAAAATTATCCACACAAGTGTATGGGCTGGACAAAAACGGTTAAGTCAGGTATGCTGTAATATATTCAATTTTTCCATATAATTTTTCACTCATGCGGTTTCTGATCTCATTTTTCTGATAGAATATGTTTTAGTTAGCTAAATGGAAAACAGCTGAAGAAGTAGCAGCTCTTATTCGGTCTTTGCCAGTTGAGGAACAACCACGTCAAATCATCGTAACACGGAAAGCCATGTTAGATCCTCTGGAAGTTCACCTGCTCGATTTTCCGAATATTGTTATCAAAGGATCGGAATTGATGCTACCATTTCAGGCTATCATGAAGGTTAAGACGTTAAGACTACATGATCTTATTGGAGGAAATGCCATATTTTGTCACTTCAGATATAAATTTTAAATTGAAAAAAAATGAAATCTAAAAATGTTTAGGTAGAAAAATTTGGTGATTTAATTTTGAAAGCAACTGAACCACAGATGGTTTTGTTCAACTTATATGACGATTGGTTAAAGGTATTTAGATTTCTTTTTTATTATAGTGTTGTTTGTACTATTGGCCCAAGCAGAACCTTCTGTTTGTGCAGGATATATTTTTATGAAATACAAGTTAGGTCGGTCACCATACTTTATCATAAATGCAGTTTCATTACTTAGATAAAAATAATGGTGTGATTTTTAATGAGGAAAAAAATGGAGGAAACTATATTTTAGACAATCTCTAGCTACACAGCATTTTCACGTGTCATATTGATAATGCGCGGCATGCATATCAACCCTGACAAGACGAAAGTAATTTTAAAGCCAGACAAGACAACAGTGACAGAGCCTCATCATATATGGCCGTCCTTGAGTGATGAAGATTGGATTAAGGTTTGTTTAAGTTAAGATTGGATTAAATTGCTTTTTAACCACTAATTTTTTTCTTCAAAGTTTTAATTCCTCAGACTAATTAGGCTGATTTTTTTTGCAGGTTGAATTAGCTCTAAAAGATATGATTTTGGCCGATTATGGTAAAAAAAATAACGTTAATGTTGCATCACTGACGCAGAGTGAAGTACGAGATATTATTCTGGGTATGGAAATCAGTGCTCCATCTGCTCAACGTCAGCAAATAGCTGATATTGAAAAGCAAACAAAGGAGCAGAGCCAGGTAGATTCACCTGCTAAATTAACTTTCATAATCCATTGCAGATATTTTATTCAGTATTTGAAATATTCGGTATAATAACTTTCCTCGAATTTAAGAGCTTTTTCAGTATTATTTATTGCTAAACGCAGAATATTAACCGAAGATAATATATGGTTTTCTCAGTTCAGTTCAAATTTCCAGGTAACAGCTACCACAACCCGCACAGTCAACAAGCACGGCGATGAAATCATATCTGCAACAACAAGTAATTATGAGGTGACAAATTTGTGAACATTAATGAAATTCGGAGATATTTCGAGCAGCTTGCAAATTTCATAAATATAAAAAAAAACTGTTTATAGACTGACTAGCTATATTAAGTGGCGTTTGTGCAAGAAACTTTAATTAATCTGCTAACTTGACTTTTAAGAGTCAAACATTTGCATCACGCACTGAATGGCGAATCCGTGCAATTAGCGCAACAAATTTGCATTTGCGAACACAACACATATATGTTAATTCGGATGATGTCAAAGATACTGGCTATACCTATATTTTGCCGAAGAATGTGTTGAAGAAGTTCATCATTATTGCAGATTTAAGAACTCAGGTATTCGTTTTTCTTCGAATTTCAGGATTTGTCAAAGAATTTTGTGAAAAAAATAATTTGCCAGTTGGAATTTTATTTGTTGAATGTTACAAAGTGCTTTGATTGTTACAAAACTTCTCTTTACAGGTTGCTGGTTATCTCTATGGAATATCACCACCTGATAATCCACAGGTAAAAGAAATTCGCTGCATTGTTCTACCACCACAGTGGGGTACTCATCAGTTGGTTCATCTTCCCAATCAATTACCCACTCATGAATTCATCAAAGATCTCGAACCACTTGGATGGTAAGAATTTCTATTTAGAAACTTTATGATATGAATATCCTTATTTCGGAAATGGGGAACAATGAGTACAATCTCAAAACGACATTTAATAATAAGAATTCTTCTAATAATGCGGAGAAACTTAAGTGTGAGTGTTTGTTTTAGAATGATCATGTAATTCCATGTAATTGAACAGGCGTTATTATACAGTTGCAAATTGGATTTCGAAATGCCCAAAATTCTTACAGCCTGACAGTAATGCATATCCACTCTATTAAGTTATGAAATTCCTCATTTGAGTGTTCTAGGATGCACACTCAACCAAATGAGTTGCCTCAGCTATCACCACAGGATGTGACGTCTCATGCAAAGATTTTGTTAGAAAATGAAAGTTGGGATGGCGAAAAGACAGTTATTATTACTTGCAGGTGAGCAAAGTATTAAAAGTATTAACTTTATGATGGATTTAGCTTACTCATTTTTTATTTATTCTTGGAACAATTCAAAAAATTTTAACCATTCCACTGTCATAGTGAGAAAATTTTTACATTTTGCTGAGATCAAGAATAATAATTTTAGTTTCACTCCGGGATCGGTATCGTTAACTGCTTACAAACTGACGCCCAGCGGTTTTGAATGGGCTCGAAATAACACTGATAAACAGAGTAATAATCCGAAGGGTTATCTTCCATCGCATTATGAGAAAGTTCAGATGCTTCTATCGGATCGTTTTCTTGGCTATTTTATGGTACCATCATCTGGAATATGGAATTATAACTTTATGGGTATGGTTTTATGAATTATAATTGCTTTTTTTTTTTAGAAATGCATTCTCAGTGCTTGTTTGTTGCAGGCGTCCGACATGAGGCGAATATGCGGTATGATTTAATGTTAACAAACCCGAAAGAATTTTATCACGAAGATCACCGACCTCTGCATTTCCAAAACTTCAAAGGATTCGATGATCCGTTAGGTGTGGCTGCTGCTGATCGAGAGGACATTTTTGCTTGAAATCAGTTGAATTTATTATTGAAGGCCTCTTTTTTCCTTATATGTTATTGAAACTTTTGTACATAGAACTTATATCACGGGATTAAAATATCTAGCAACAATCTTTACACAATTCAAAGTTTTTTTCTTTTTTCATTATCCTTGATAATTCTTTTGGTGATTCAAAGCTTTAAAGTAGTTGTTCATTAATTCTAATTTCTGATATATTCATCGATTTAGGAGGATAATCTTAAAACATGAGCAGTACTAAGTAGTTAATCTCGTGATTTCTTATTTTTTACAATTATTAGATATTCATTCTTTCCATTCTTTGTAAAAATTTTAATGGTTTTTTGTTTCATAAATTTTAATATGGATCGGAAATTTGAAGTTCTTAATTTTTTTAACGATACTGAGACATATTTGAATTTAAAATACTTGCATTTTTGTTACTGTGTTGTCCATTATTCATTTATATGTGAGAGACAGTTTTCACATTCATTTGAAATATTTTTCTTTATTTTCAAATAAATTTATCGAAAAGCGTTAATTATGTGGCAGAAACTGTATCCACGAGAGATTTGGCCTCTACTAATAACGAGATGTGAAATGAAGCTTCTAAATAACAATAGACAGATGCTTATTAAAATCGGTGACATGGGAATCATTGATTTTTCGGCGGCGTTATTTTTGGTAATTGCATAAGTCTTTTGCGTCTGTTAAAACAGGTAATAAAACACAGAAAACACTGAAGTGAAGTAGCAATCGGCGTGTTCAAATGCGGATTTTTATTTGTAAATTACGTCGAACGTTGGAATTTCAGCACGTTTTCATTGTTGATGATTGGATGTAGTAAGGAATTTTGGCTGTCAGTTTCCTGATCTTAGCTAAAAGGTCGCTTCAGTTAAGGTCGGTTCTTTTGAGTTTCAGTTTTTTATGCATTTCTGATTTCTGTGTAAGATATTCACCAGAATCAATGGGATACATTAAATCACTTTCAATCTTAGAAGAATTTCATAGTTTTAAATTCGGATTTTCATCTGTAAGGTATAAAAAATCTTTTCTTTTGCAGAACAAGTAAGGGACTGATTTTATGTGATGCTCAATATTTATTCCGAAAATTTAAGTTGCAAACATGACAGCTATCCCAGTGAAGAAGAAAGTACAGGTAATTACGTTACAGATTCTGCGAAATGCTTACATATATCCAAATATTGTTATATGTAAATATGTTCTTTATTTTTTAATTTTTTCAATTCTTATGACTTAAAGCTAGAAATAATTTTCACTAATTTACTGTTAAGGTTTCGTTTGTGATTCGGGATGAAAAGGAACCGATGCATCGTTCAGGTGTGAACTGTTTGCAGTACGATGCACAAACAGGTCGGCTCTTTTCCGGTGGCTCAGATACTATTATACGAATCTGGAAATCACCTGATTGTAAAGAAGACAACTTTCGGGTTACTACTGAAGTTTTAATTTCAAACATTGTACAGAATAAGTATAATACTATGAACAGAAAAGATTAATATAAATAACTAAAATAAATGGAAAATATTAGCTGAAAAAATTCAAATACTTAAAATGCATTCAGGCAGTAGAAAACAAGAATCGAAATATGCCAATAAATTTTCGCGCTTCCTTTAAATTTAAAGAAAAGTTGGGATTATCATTTGCCATGTTTGAAAATGACACTTTATGCATTGCAAATTTTTGACTATCAAAATATTAAAATTGCATTCTTTTGTCCAGTTAATAAGCAAAGAAGGATCTTTTTGCGGTAGTGGTAGTAATGGAAGGACAAAAATTCAACGTGATCTTCACTTACAATCAATGGAACATCATACTGATTGGGTTAACGACATTGTTCTTTGCTGTAGTGGCCGGAATCGTACGATTTTCGTTTATTTAATTTTTAAAATAATTTTTAAAAAATGATAATTTTAATAGAATTATAGATCAACAAGTTAATATTCAAACATGATTTCTTATGAAATCATGTTTGAATATTAACCGATTTCTTTATTGCTGTTATGAGAAATTTATTTATTAAAGTGGTTTTTTCGAAGAATAATTTGGACAAATTGTTTCATATAATTATATCTTTCTTTGTTAAAAGAAAATTTACGCCTGCAAATGAAAGTCAGTAATCTGCCTAGAAGTTTAGTAATCTCGGCTTCAAGCGATACAACAGTAAAAGTTTGGAATGCTCAAAAAGGCTTCTGTATGTCAACGCTACGGACGCATCGAGATTATGTTCGTGCGTTGGCGTATGCCCGAGATATTGAAATGGTTGCAAGTGGTGGATTCGATCAGCTTATTTATTTGTGGGATATTGCTACATTAACAAAGCTAACTGCATTAAATAATACTGTTACAAGTAGGTAAATACAGCTGTTTCGGCAGCTTAATTTTCTGTAGAATATGAGTTAAAATGGACCACCTGTATTCAAAGAGATCATGTAAACTTGGAAGAGATTAAAATTAAAGTTTGATTTTCAGCCTCTTCGCTGAGTGGTAACAAGGATAGCATTTATTCACTTGCTACGAACCCTTCTGGAACAATCGTTATTTCTGGCTCAACAGAAAAAGTATTTATTTTTGTTTTTGCTCACGTTAGAAGAATTTTTTAAGCCTAACAATTCTGATGTTTTTCAGGTGCTTCGTGTATTCGATCCTCGTGCATGTCAAAAGTTGATGAAGCTTCGTGGCCATACTGATAATGTTAAGGCAGTCATTGTGAATCGCGATGGCACACAGGTATGGGTCATAACAGTCATTTGGGCGTGAATTTTGGATTTTTTGTATAATTAAAATAAACCTGAACTGATATTGATCGTTGACTTAAAAATTAGTTTTGGAAGTCCTTTTTTTCATCATTTTCTTCATCTTTCTGCTATTCGTTTGTCAAAGTACACAATTAAGCCTTTGTAAGATTTGAATTCATAGTATCATGTTTTAATTTTTTTAGTGCTTATCGGCCAGCAGTGATGGTACCATAAAGTTGTGGAGTATTGGACAGCAGTGCTGCATATCATCGCTGAAATGCCATTCAGAGAGTGTTTGGGCATTGCAAGTAAGTTTAACTTAACTTTCTATATTGATATAAATTTATTTTTATTCTTTAATTATTGTTTAGTACATTTATTTTATAATAGTGTGATTATATTTCAAAAATTAATACAAATATTGAAGTTTTGCACTTCATGTTCTGCGTAGTATATTTTGTTACTGCATTGTTTTCAGGCTGACAGTAATTTTTCATACGTATATTCTGGAGGGCGAGATAAACAGGTCTTCCGCACTGCAATTAACGATTTTAAGACAGCACAACTAATGTTTGTTGAAGATGCACCTGTACAGCGCGTAAGAAGGATTTTAATTACTACTGAAATTGTTCTATGATTGAATTTTATTGTTTAAATTTTCATTCAATTATTCTTCAAATACATCCATATACATAATTTTAAAAGCAGTCAGCCCTGTCTTCTAATTTTTTTTGTTAAACTACAATTCTTTCGAGATATGTAATTTAATGGATATTGCCTCCGAATTCCATTATAATGCTTGATTTTAATTTATTGGTTTGACTTTAGTTGCAACTAACCGATTCGGATTCGCGTTTCATTTGGGCAGCAACATGGAACTCGTCAATTAAACGATGGCCATTGCTTAGTGATGCTCAAATTTCAGTTGAAAAAAATGATCAATATGAAGAAATGGTTCCATGTGTTCATGAACCAGACATCATCATTCCAGGTTGTAGAAGAGAATTAAATTTAATATCGGAAATACCTAATGAAGAAACTATGTTACTGCATACATTTTTATAGCTTCATTCAATTTTTACTGAGTTTCAGGTGCTGCAAGCATTAGGCAACATGTTGTTTTAAATGATAAAAGACATATTGTCACAAAAGATACCGACGACAATGTGGCGATGTGGGATGTCCTAAAGGGAAAGAAGGTTTAAAATTTTGCATTCTGTCAAAAATTTCTCCATTTCATGCATTTAATTTGAATTATGTCAGTTGCATGTAACTCGGATTTCAAAAACAATCAATGCAATAGTTTCTGGACATAAATAAAAATATTTTAATGCTGAAAATTTTTTAACATTTATGCATTTCTAATGCTGTCATCAAATGTGACAGAAATAAAAAACATGGAACAAGTTTTTTAAAGATATGTGATCATGGAAAGAGACCGATGGAGGAAGTGATCAAGGATCATTTCAAGAAAGTATTTGTACCTTCGTGGTTTACAGTTGATCTGAAGAGTGGTGTAAGTTATTAATAAATTTTTCAAAACATCAGAGCTTTCACTCATCTCTGGCTCTATTATTAAATTAATATTTCATCTTTTCATAAATATCACTTGATTGATTTTATTCTTGATTGCCAGTGCATCCGTATAAAAGACTTCCGATCTGATGCGAGACTTGCATGTTTAGTTTGTCGAAATTTGCAGTTCATGTGAAAATTTCCGGCAGATTGTTAATAATGGAATGTTTTCCTTTTATTTAGTGGACAGTCACATTCTTTTTTCTTCTTAGATGTTGCAAATTACATTGGATGAGTCAGATTTCTTTTCTGCTTGGGTATCAGCAAAAGACGCTGGATTTCCAGACAGTCAAAATGATACTAAAAGTAAAACTTTTTCGCTTTTTTATATCATCTATTGAAACGAAAATTTTAATTTTGAATGCAGTTGGGATCAAAATAAGATTTTTTCTTATTTTAATTTATAACATTATAGTCAATTACGGTGGAATGTTACTTCGGGCGCTATTTGAACATTGGTCACGATCTTTTTCTGATGTTGATGAGGAATCTCCAACTCATCGATTCAATTCCATACCTGGTCATACTCCGCTTATTTTATGGTATGTTGTTGAATGTTCTATGGATAGTAGGTAATAAGCAAAGAGATGAAAAGACTAAGTTAATCGGAATTTAGCTTTGTGCAATCACAAATCACTGAAAACAGAAGCTCGGCTAACTTAATCGAAAATTTAAGCTTATCATTATAGCACCAATTTTTTCTGTGCTTATAGACAATTAGAGCTCAAATAATTTATGTTTTTCAGCATTCTGGAATTATAAGAATATTTTTAGAACTACATAACATCACTTTTATTGTTTTTAATCAGAATATGTGAGCAAATATAATATCTCTTAATTTAACAAAGAAGATTGGTAATGATTATTGTCAATTAATTTCAGTGAATCAACTGGTCGACCTATATTTCGACTAATGATACGAGATGCGGCACATGAAACCGAATCACAAATGCTTTCGGACTTTGTTCCACCTTGGGTTTTAGATGTAGTTGAGAGAAATCAACTTCCGAAATTTAACAAAATGCCATTCTTCCTTCTTCCACATCCATCCCTCGGAATCAAGGCAACAAAGAAGTCTGTTTTTTTTTTTTGTTTTATTGTGATCTCGGAAGGCAAACTACAAACGTTTTGAGATTTAAAACTCATAGCGAAATCCAAGCAAATTAAAAAAAAATTTATTTTGAAATTATATAATACAAGACTTCGAATTTCCTTTTTTTCGAAAATTTTTTCAAAAAAAGAGCTTGCAGTATGAAAAAACTTCCAAAAACAAAAATGATTTTTTTCAAGGGATCGATTAAGTGCTACAGAAATGCTTCAAGTCAGAAAAGTGATGGAACATGTTTATGAGAAAGTATTGAATGTTAACGATGCAAATTACTCAGAGAATGGTATTCTACCTGCTGCTCAAATGTTGCCATCCTCTCTACAAGTAAATATTGAAGAAAGAATTGAACTTTATTGCCAAGATCAGGTATGCTTCCAACTTTTATATGCAGAATGCATTATCCGTATTTAAATTAAAATTTTTTTAAATTACCCTAGTTCTTCGTTCTATATAAATATCAATAAGAACGAGATAATTTTTGAATATTACTTTTAGTTCTTTTTTTATATTTATATCTCTAATTAATTTATGGAAAAGATTTTTTACATTTTAAGAGTCCTAGAGAAATCTTATTTTGTCTTACCAATATTTCCGAAAAATATTTTCTATCTCGTGTTTTCTTCAAATATTTTAGACTTTTTTTAAATGTATTGCACGTTATGAGTATTTTTCTAGAAATTGGACCCAGAAATGGACCTTCGAACTGTCAAGCATTTCATTTGGAAACAGGGTGGTGATCTCATGTTATATTATAAACCTATACGATAATGGTGATTATTTGTATTAAGAAATTTTTTATTCAATTCACATCATATAAAACATCAAAAAATGCAATTTTCTGTTCGAGACTGTTGCATAACTTTGTACAAATCTAATTACTGCTTTGATAGTTCTTATATAGTTTTTACTTCATAACGACATTTTATTCTCATTTCTTAGTAAGGCATTGCAAATATCATTTCAGAAAACCAACAACTTATAATTGTCACTTATCAACTTTGTATTTTCAAAAGCGTTTCAATTTTTTTTTTTAATTTTTATCATTCCTACTAACCAACGTATGATGCTTAAAAACAATGTTGAAACCTGCTCTTCGAACAACTTACTAAAGACAGCAGTAAATTCCAACAGTCTACACATTTTTACATCTGTATACAGTAAGCATTCCGTTCTTTCATTTTTTAATAATTAAATCAAAAAATTGAAATAGAGTAAAATTAGAGAAGAGTACTTTTAAGAAAAAGTAATCAAAATATTAATTGTGGTGTAGATGAGTCTTCGAATTATATTTCTGTGTAAAGTGTGCATTTTTTTAAATTAATTAATGTTGTTGATATGTTTCTGCTATATTGAGGATAGAGATGAGCTTTCTGTACAATAAACTACTTATATTTTGTCGAGTGTTTCAAAGGAATCAGCGCATGTAATAAAATTTGCTGAAAATTTTAAAGCAAAATTGAAATCATCTGGATATCATTCCAACATTCCAACAGAGAGTGTCTTCTGATCATCTTTACTTGTAATATTTAAAATGAAGCACCAAATTAGCAAGATTCTTTCACTCTTCAAAATTAATGATGATTCATTTGTTTGAAAAATTCTAGAACATAAAATGATAGGTATAAGTTGTGAAGCGTTATTGATATAATACTAGACTATTACTTAATATATATTCTGGTCTCACAGTAATATCTCAAAATTTTTTTCAGTCAGAAAGAAAATGCAGAAATTTCAAGATTTTTACATTAAACTATTTCTATTGGCATTACGCTCTATGTTTGGTATAATATAGTATTGAATTATTTCAAAACTCAGTGTGCAAGATTGAAAAACAACGGAGTGAAGCATTTTGATATATAAAATGTTGTATTCAAATAACAACATGTCAAATTTAAATTAACGACTATATAATTGAGAAATTCGTTCAATATAAATTTCTTCTTAAACAAATTACTCTCTTCGCAAGAACAACCAACCCAAGGCATGAAATTCATTACTGAATGGTAATTTATATAGTGTCTTATTTTATTAAAATGGCATGATTTTGGATAATACATTGATCAAAATTCAAATTATTTGAATTAAAATGTCGTCATTTTTGGATATTTTCTTTGTAATCCGATTTTGAAGTAGCGTTCTATTTATTATAGCTAAAAGTGGTAAAATTACATCATTGAAGTTAAAAAATCAGTTGAAATTTCTCTCTCGATATTTTAAGAAAGAAAGAGAATATATTCGACTGAAATTCCCATCCACATAAGTTTAGGTCAATAAGGTGTGTGGAAGATGTTAAATTTTACTCTTGATCTATCGCACTGTTCACATATCTTCGAGCTAAAGCAAATAAACACTTCGTATCAGATAATTAAAATTTGCAACAGAAAAAAGAAGCGGTGAAATTAAATTGCTATATCTTTATGCTGCTACAATCCTAATTAACACAGCTTTCAACTGCATTATAGTAAATTGATACTGATTATACAACTCATAACTGCAGATTTTCTATTAGAAAATTTAAAAATGCTTCGTTTCATTATAAATTTTTGAATAGGTTAGTTTAATGAATTTATTTTAATTTATTTTACAGTTAGAAAGTCCTGCAAATGAAATTTTTGTATTCATTGAAACATAAATTCACGTAGACAATTAGCAGATACCACAAATCACTTCGGTGAAATGATCAATGTTTTATGATCAAATAAGTGACTTTAATTATTTACAAAAGCAGATATGGATTTTTTCACATGCAACTATTAAATGAGTTTACTGCGATTTATTTGAAAAACTATGAATTATAACATAACATTTTCATCGTCATATGATAAACAGTTCGCCTAAACTGGCCTGAAATTAAAATGGAAATCAACCATTCTCACTAGCGGATAATATTCCCAATTGTTTTTAATTACCAAAGTTGAAGTTTTTCTCCCTTGATAAAAACAAAAACACGAAATATTTCAACTTGTTTTACGATTTTTATTAATAAACTTTGATGTGCCAAAAAATAACATCTATTCTGAGTTCAAATTGAATTTCACTAGCAGATTAATTATTCATGGAGGTAAACGGCAAAAGTAAACTTTGGCTGGTAGGTAACAATCCGTGGTTATGGTTTCTGACCAAAAAGATGGATTTAAAAAAATAATTTAATCAGTGCCATCTTATTAGAAAATTTCAGATTACAATCATTAGCTTTATTGTTGCAAGTAATATATGAGATATGTTGTAATCACCGAACAATCTTATTAATTCATATAAATGAATAAAGTTTGTTACTAACTTATTTGCATAATTGCTTTCGAATTCAGAATCTGCTTCTTGGATCAATCTCGAGCAAGCTATTTTATCAGACTTTCGAATAATATTTGATGATGTTACAGTTAGTTATAACAAATAAAAAGAATAACAAAATATTTCTAGAAATAGAAATGTCTAAGAAATAATAAACAAATTATTTCTTTCCTTATCAGTATATCGCGTCAGAGGCTAGCTTCACAAATATTTGGTAACTAAGGTATCAAAGATTATCATTGTCACTTATTACTCGCATCCTTATCAGCTAAATAAGATGTTTTTATGCGCTGTTAGCTCTATTACAATGCAATTTTACTTATCTAAGTTTGAGTTAAAGGAAAAAAGTCATTGTTTATTTCAATTTTTACTAATCATTGAACTATTAAAAAGAATAGGAAAATATATTCTGTAATTAGAAATTGAATTTTCCATTTCTGAAATAGAAATTTTGAAGTTATATGCATAGGGCTTTTTTTTCTTTATTTTCAGAAGTTAGCGATGAAAGTAACACTGTTTGCTTTGATACTATCAATTTGGATTACAACAATCACTTTATCAGGTTTTTTTCATATATCCGTCATTGCTATTATGTTAAAAACTTTATAACTGTTTTACTTAAGTAAATTTTTATGAAGATTTAAATGGTATTTAACTTGATGATTCAAGCAAAGTTTTTGGTCAATAATTAAGCATCCAATTCTTTAAATATCTATTACAATGATTTAACATTATCAAAGTATTTCATATACTTATTTCTAAGCTATATAATATTTACTGATTTAAATATTAATAAATTTTCTGATTAATTACAATTATAAACTTATTCGAATGACTCTTATTCGTTAATGATTATTATTATTTTTTTTTATAAATAAGCTTTCATAATGATTTTTTTTAATGATCTTGCCAGGGCACTAAGAGAGAAAGAGAGAGGAAATTATCAGAAATCCAATGACTTTGAAGAAATTATGACTCATAATAAATTTTTGTCCAAAAAGAATAATTATTGGCTATTTTGTTGCCTATAAAAATTGGTTCAAAGCTACCATTTAAAAGAAATAGCAAGATTTTTGCTATTTCGCGATAAAATCATTTAAAAGCTGCAAATTTAAAAGTTAAATAAATTAATGAATAAATTTCTCAGTTAATTTTCAAAGATCATTTCTTGAATTAAATCAGGAAGCTAAAGAATGAAATTTTTATACGGCAAATGAATAAACACTTCTTTATGAATTAGACGGATGGTTCTTGCAAGTTAAATTATAATTTTAATAAACTTTGACAAATTAGTTCTTAAATCAACTTCGCTTTTGTAATGCAAAATAGCGCATTTGAGCAAAAAAATGAAATGAATGGGAGTAGAAATAAATATTGAAGTATGAAAAAAATACCGAAATTTATTCTTGAATGAAATTACTATTTTAATAAATTATGCATGTTTTGAATATTAAATACAAATTGTAATGGAAATAAAGTTAGCGAGTTAAGGAATTTGGATCAGTGTGTTGGAATTGGATTATTTGTTTCTTCTATTTTGAATCAGTCCTATTTATAAGACGGCTTAACTAAATTTTTCTTTAAAATAATTTTAAAATCAAGATCATTTGTATTCAAATATTATAACAAAAGTCATCAATATTTAAGTATTCAATAATCGTGGAAAAAATATCTGCTCAATGTTTATTTTTAAAAAGTTCTTCAAATAATCTTACAAGTAATTAATAAATCTGATTTATCATATGAAACATCCATTTTTTAGATATGAGGTCATTTTGAATAATTGATACAGAAAGTAATTTGAAGGAAATTTTTCTTACTGTTAGAAACATAATTTACACTACAAAAAAGACTCTCAAATTTAATAACTAAAAAACTTATTAATAGAATAACATAGTCGGTACTGCTATTTATTATCTATCATAATCATTATTAATCTGCATGGCTTGTTTTTACAATTCGTTTAGAACAGCAAATTGATAAATTAGCAAAATTTTTCCTTATTGTTCAGCATAATTTTCATAAAAATGAAATTGAAGCTTGAGCAATTCGAGTTGACAAATGACTGCATACCTTTAATAGTTCACTAAAGTCAAAAGTTTCCATAAAAACAATACAAACATTAGCTTTAGCTTTCTTGCAGATTATCAAAATTATGAGAAAAATAAAATGATAATGATTATTAATTAATTGGTAATTATCGTTTAAGCAAATTTTCAATTCACTTTTTTGGGTAGTTAAATGTTCCAATTCATTTCATTTTTCTAACTTACTAATCATTTCAGAAGGCGGATTGCTCAAAAAACTCGAAAGTGACGACGATTTCTCTTTGCTATCGAAGGATGATATTAGTATGTTATCCCCTAAAATGAAAAAAAACAACTAATTTAAAATAGTTTAAGAAAAATGTACGTATCGTTAGGATATAATTAATATGCAAAACAATTTTGCAAATTAAAATTTAATGAAATTATTCTATCATTAATTACTTAAATTATAACAAATAATTGAATAACCTACTTAAAATTTGCAAGAAAAAAGCTGAACTATTAATGAAAGATGAGTTTTTTTTTGAGATAATTCAGAACTTGTGTAACTTATATAATGTCACAGAAGAAAAATAACTTCCAAAAATAACTGATCAGGAAGGCTTCCGTATTAGCTTCTACAAACAAAAATAATAGAAAAAATGTCAATTTTTCACGAAATTCTTTGCTGCAATCAAATTGCTGGAAACTAGAAGTTGAAAATGCGACAATTTTATCTCATTTTTCCTTTTTTTGCCAATGTATCTCATGAGAAAAGCAAAAAATGATCGAATAAAAAATTAATTCTATCGCACATTTCAATTTCATTTTTTTAAGACCAAAAAATTTTCAATTTTTTTCAATTCAGAAAATTTTTTTCGGATATCATTACTGAAAGCAGTTATAATTCTAAAAGTATTATAATAAGAGTGTGATGAATAACTTCAAATTCAACGGTTTTTTCAAATTTAAATTCAAATTCAGCAGCTTAATAAGGGTGAGTAAGTAATTAATTTCGAACGAACTCCTTACTTACATCTCGAAATCAACGGCTTGTTGTGCTAGCAGAAACACATTGTAGAAAAAGAAATTGAAGAAAAAGTTATCTGATTTTGCAATATTTCCCAACCTTCGCAAAATAAAGCAACTTCCCTACATTCCTTTATTTAACGTCATGAAATTTTACTGATTACTGCATTGATTTAAAGCTTAAAAATCTCTTCTTTGTTGGGAATTTTAAAGGTTATGCTTTTTCTATTAATATATTTATCGATAAAATTTTGTAATTATATTTTTTGAATTTACACAGCATGATAGATGATGTTGTGATAACGGGATTGAAAGTAAATTCTTCATTTCATCATTTTTTCATTTGGTCAAGAGTTTCAAGAATAACAATCAATATATTCTAGAAAGAAAAAAACATTTCTCAGTCAAAATATAGTCAAAAATAGGAATGTTTTTTCGTTTAAATGAATAAAAAGTTATCGTTCGAACAAATTGCCACAAATAAATGTCTCATTGCTTTGAAATACCATTTTGATGCATAGAATATTGCATAAGTGAATCCAAAAAAAAATGCAACGTTGATTTGTTTTTCCGAACAATAACAAATGGTAACGATATTTGGAATTAAAATTCAATGTGAAATTAAGTTTGTTCATGACTACTTATGATATTTTTAGCAAAACGATCAAAACGGTCAGCGAATTTAGCGCCTGCCTCAGGACTTCGTCCTGATAACAGAAGAAGCTACAGTGATTGTGTAGAAGATTATGATGATGATGGCAAGGATGATGGTGATGATGGTGATGATGGTGGCAAGGATGATGATGATGATGATGGCAAGGATGATGGTGATGATGATGGCAAGGATGATGGTGATGATGATGGCAAGGATGATGATGATGATGATGGCAAGGATGATAGTGATGATGATGGCAAGGATGATAATGATGATGATGGTGGCAAGGATGATGATGATGATGGTGATTATTATGATTATGGGAGCACTGATGATTATGATTATTAGGCAGATAATGATAACCACGATTATTTGCTTTATTAAATAGATGACTGCAACTCTGATGTCAATAATGTCAGTAATGATAACAACAGTATTAAAAAAGATAATAATTATGGCTTTATTTCTAATAAATAATTTAATTTAATTGCAGAAAAACAGCGTTTGCACTAATTTTTCAATCTTGTTAAACTGCATCATAACTGGCAATAGCTAAACATGCCTGTCCTCGTTTTCGTTATAACTGATTTAAAAAAAGAGAATAAATTTGCATCATAGCGTTAATTGATCATTTATTAAAAAACACTTGTGCTATTGTTTTGCTTGCTTATCTGTTTATTCGTCCGCATATTTTAAATCTTTAATATAGTCTATTCCTAGTTATTAGCAACTATTTGATAATTTCCTTATTATTCCATGAAATTTGAATAAAACACACGAATATTAATTCTACATCAAAATAACTGTGTAAAATTCAAGGTTAGGTGTAATTTGTTGCAAATGAACAACTGATATATCTATTACAACAAGCATTTATGAATGTAAAGTTTACAAAAGAAATATTGCAAATTATAAAGTTCAAATAAAAAATATTAGATTTTCGATATGATTATATTAAATCATTAATGCTTAACATATAATCCTCATGCAAGTTAACAAGAAAAATATAAGTGTTGAGCAACAACTGACGCAATAAATCTTCATTTAGAATTTGGTAATTGATTATGTGATATTATTATCATTCGTATGGTAATATCAGGATAAATGAGAATCGTGTTGCAATGTCAAGATAGTTATCACAATCCAGAACTGAATACTTTTTTCGTGTGCAGAATCTGTTGACTGGCGATTTCGTTTTTAAAAATTTCAGCCTAGATTTCTTGCAGCAGTAAGGACCATTTCATTCATTTTTATATTTGATATCATTTTTAAGAAAAAATGATACCATTATCGAATAATTACCATCTAACCTTTGCATTCCTGATCAGCAAACTTTTTTTTAAATTATCATAAAATTTCAAACTGTGCAGTAATAAAAATGTGAAAACAACCCTTTTAATGCTTTCATTTAGTTCATATCATAACGATTAAAAAAGCGTAGTAAAATTTGCTAAACTTTTTTTTCAGAATTATATGTCCTAAATTATTTACTTGTAACTTACGATAGAAAATGCTCAGCTACAAAATTCAAATTCTTAATTTGTTTGAATTATAAATTCAAAGAGTGATTACATGTTGTTTTTTAATCACTGCACATGTAATTTTTTTTTTTAATAAAATTATTCAAACAATTATTAGAAGTGAATGGCGAAATGCGTATATTAAAATATCATAACAATTATTCACTTGAAATAGTTTATTGAAGCATATTTAGTTTCAAGAATATCTTATCATATTAGAAAGAGTGCATACATAATGAAATTTAATCATTATCGAATAAATCATTTTTTTTACAAATTTATTCTTTTTCATAAAATTAAAAAATCACACATCATTATAGCCATCGTTCTATTTTAAATTTAGATAAAATTCAAGAAAAATAATTTAAAAAATTTTGTAAAGAAGTTTATGTATCAGCAAAAAGCAATGTTTTTTTGTCTTTCGAGAATGAATCATTTTCGAGAAAAGGATATTTGCAAGATGGAAATTTTTGATGTTTCAATATTACAAAAGACAAAAAAATATTTTGCATAATTTAATATATCAAATTTTTCATTTCAAAAACTTTTTAAAAGCCATTTATAAAAGTTAGAAGGAAGAATGTTGCTGCTAGCTTTTCTCTTCGTTTCATTCTTCCATGCTTTCCCTGCGGTCAGTTCACAGTTTCTTTTTTCGCTTTTAATTTTCATTTTTTGTTTACGTTGCAACGAATTTTAATCCAATATCATATTATCAGTGTATTAGTAATAGCGGTTACTAAATACTGAAGTATGAAAAAAATATGTGAATTCAAAATTTGAAATAAAATTTTTCTACTGATTATAAGTACAAGTACAGATATTAGCTTCAAAATAATCAACGATTCAACGAACAAAATAGTAGCATTATTTGAGTAATATCAAATTTTACATTCAAACACTGGAAAATGTTGCGAATGTAATATTATCAAGCATTTTATTTATGCGCAATGAATGGATTCATTCATTCATTTAAATTAAGAAAATTACTTGAATTGAAACATTTTTGCAGCAATTTTCATCATCTCCAAGAGATATAGAATCAAAGCAAAAAGAATTGGAAGTGAAATGGAATCATTTTGGCAAAATTAGACGATTCACAATTATATCTGAGGAATGTTGTGTCTATGATGAATTAAAGAAAGCATTGCATACGTATGAACCAAAAATTCAAGGCTTTCTTTCATGGATAGGTAATTACTAACAATTTTACTTGTATATGAAACGAATCGGAAAACTCTCAACATTCCATTCGGAAATTTGAAATTACGGATAATTGAAATCAAAGTTTTTTTTTCTTCTAAAATTTTTTTGCCTTAATTTCTTTCACTCATTGTTTGTTCTCATGTTAAGAACAAAATCAAATGAAATGAACTCAAGAAAGTTTGAAGTAATGAAATAAGAGAGTAAAGTTGAAGGACAAGAGATGGAAGAGAAGGAAAATGTTTTAAAGATAATTGAAAAGATAAAGTTTGCATGATTGTATGTGTGTGTGTGTGTGTGTGTGTGTGTGTGTGTGTGTGTGTGTGTGTGTGTGTGTGTGTGTGTGTGTCTATGTATGCATGTACTTAAAATATTACTCCCTGTGCTATTTTGCATCATTTAATAGAAAACAATTAGAAATTTTGCAGATAACGAAAATGATTCAGTCCTGTTGAATTCATCCAATGAACTTAATTCAGCTTTAAAATATAAATCAAACAGATTCTTACGTCTGAATACCATCGGTACAATAAATTTTTTCTTATAATTGTAAAATTTGAAAAATTTCACTTTATTTCTATTCTCTATAACTTTAAAAATATTATTTTGAAAACGGCTGTGGTAATGGAAAAAATAACTTTCGAAATAAAAAAAATTACTTTATTCGTCTATTTCTGTTTAATACAATTTCAGATGAGGAAGTCTTCAAGTATCAAGCAATGAAGGGAAGAATGATGCATCACAGTGTAGGTTATTTTCCAATTTCGAAAAAGCTCTCTTTGAAGAATTTTCCTATTTTATTGACTAATGAAATGCCAAATATTTTAAAGTTCGTAACTGAAAGTTTTTTTTTTTTAAATTAAAACAAATTAATAATACACTGGTCATCTTAGTTGCATTAAACTTGAACTTCATCATTCATCAGAATTACTTATTAACATAGTCATCTTTTTCCGAAATTCCGTACGCAATTGAGTAAATTATTGTTTACAGTAATGTAAAATAATGGATTGTACAGATTAAAGCTGTCAACAGATAGTAATGCAAAAGTAGAAACTAATCTATAATTTTGCTAGTATTTGATAATTAAGCTTTGACAATCATTAGCTTACTATTTTCAGCGGAATTTTGAAAATGAATATTGAAAATTATTCCAATAAACTGTCGGAGAAATTCAAAAAATTGCAATTACTTTCTTATCAGTTATTTTTGTCACCAATTTTCAGCTACAAAGGGAAATCTTCGTTAAAGAATTACTTGGTGACAAAGAAATCGAAATCGAATTTGACATTAATCTTTCTTCGGAGGTATTAGAGCAGTTTGCAAAAAAGCAAGGAATATGGCCAATTATTATCATTCGTAATTCTAAACCTGATTTCACGGAAGACCAAATAAGTAAAAATCAAACAGGTGGTGCGGAGCAAACAACGGCAAGAATAAAAATACGAGTAAACAACAACAGGAAGGCCAACAACAATGTCAATAAAACTTCTAGAATTAATTAAATTTAATAGGTTTATTTCTTCTGAACTAATTTACTTTTCACTTTATTATTCGTGATTGTTATTTGATATCAGATGATAAAGATAAGTAATACAGGACTAGGGAATAATATATAATTAAAAAATGATAATCAATTTAAAGAAAAAGATAAAAAAATTGTTTTCAGATTCAATTTCATCTAAAGAGAGATTTAATGGAATGATTGATAAGAATAGCTTTTTGAAACAATAAAGAAGATATGATAACATTAACAGTGATCATAAGATTCAACTGATAACCTAATTTTCAACGTTATCATCGATTGTTTTGCTCTCCAATAAACTCTATCAATTTCTCTTCTGATCTATAACGATACTATTCGATCAGTCCTTCTTATTAGCATTAAAATTTTTGCATATTACAGTGAGCATTTAGAAAAATTAAAGCAATGATATGAGAACATTAATTTAATATGACGGTGAATTTTCTCAAAAAATTGCATTTCAAAAAGAAATGTTTAAAAAAAGTAACATTAATAATCACGTACGTGAGATTTAAATAATAATAACAATTGTAGATAGACCGAATGCATAATTTCAAATACATTAAATTTTTATCTCTTAAAAGACATATAAGAAATTCAAAAAAATTTCCATTTTTTCGAATATCTTCAATTATCAGTTCGATATTTTTTGTTTCCAAAAAATAAACAAAGATATGGACTTTTTTGAATTTAAAAATTATTTTCATTTATTGAAAGAAAAATTTTCCTTACCTTTTCATCCATTCCATTTCATATAATTCAAAATGTTCTCTTCGGATTGAATTCAACAAACCTCTCACAACCTTTATTACTCTTCAGAAGAAAAAAAGAAGATATTTCAAACTTTTCCAAAGGAATTTTACACAGTTTTACAAATACTAACTTTTATTATTTGTACATACAAAATGGATACGCTTATTTTGATAAATTTCTTCCTTTTTTTTGCAGAATAAAATTTCCATAATTCATTATTAATCAGAGTTACAAGTGTATCAGATGATGTTAAAATTCGTTGTTGTTTTTTTCTTCAAACATCGGAAATGATATCACAAATTTTTATTGAAATATATTAAAGCATATGTGCACTTTTACGAAGTTTAATA